GGACCCTTCCCCGGGGGCGTCTCCCCAGCCGGGGGTGACGGTGACGTGTTGCCATCGGGGGGAGTGGGGTTCCGTACTGGGTTTGTATATGTTTGTATATATGCCATTTAAAAAAAATATTATTTATTATTATCATCTAAAGTAGCAGTGCTTTTGTTAAAGCTGTTTTACTTTTCTAATGGATAAGTACCTCATTCCCTTTCTCTTCCCCTTTTTGGTGGGGAGAAGGGTTAACAGCATCTGTTACAGGTCTGGGTGCAGCCCTGACCCTAAACTGTGACAGACATGTACATTTATATTGCATAGTGTTTCAATGCAGCACAAAGGAATAATGATTGCTCTTTCCTCTCAATATCAAGGTAGAATTATTTCCTCCAAAATCCTGTCTTCTAGAGAACAGTGTATGTACGAAAACTGTGCATATTTTTAGTAACATGTAGGCTTTTAAAAGTGCTTTGAAGAGTGTAGAGCATTTCTTAGCAGTAAGTTCTTACCATCTAGAGTGAAAAATAATATATACCTGAAGCTCACAGCTGCAAAACTAACCATATATTGACTGCTCAGGAAGCATTAGGAAGGTGCCACACCTGTTATCTTTATGTCCTAGATTTCTTTGAGTCTTCAAAAACCCTGCACCACAAGGAAGCTTTCACTTCACCACTTGAGAGCTTGTTGTAACTGTCACCTGCTGAAGATTAATTTCAGCTTAAGGTGTGAGGAGAGTTTGCTGCTGTGTTTGAAAGGAGAATGGATTTACAGAGCCTTGCCTTGAACTCCTTCTGTTTCCTCAAGCCTATTAGAAAACCAAGTGTTTTCCTGTAGTATTATGTTTTAGCATTGTCATTAGTACAGCACGCTGGAAGAGGTGTCCCTGTCCAAAGGGATTAGGCTGGGTGCTCCTCTGTGCTCTGCTGGGTTCAGCAGAGAGGCACTATTAGCCTCAACAGCAGAGGCCAGATGGAGAGAGATACTCTTCAGGTGCTTCCTTTCCCCACCTTTGTTGCTGCCCGGGATTAGGCTATAGATAGTGAAGAATCCCAGTAAGCAGATTTTCACCAGCAGTCACCTGCATCACTGGAAGCAATCCCTGGTGTTGGGTCTGTCTCTTTTGGAATACATCACCTCAAAATGCAGACTGCTTGTAATGATTCTTGTTTCTGCTGAGCAAGCGCCACAGTTGACTCCTTTTCATTTTTGGGGGCAGGTAGAGCCCACAGCAGGAGAGAACACGGGCTGAGCACAGCTTGAAAAAGATTTGGCAGCCTGTGGAAATGCACTAATCCTTCTTTCCTTTGCACTTGATCCAAATCAAACTCCTCAACTGATTTTTGGTGGATTCCAGCCAGGCTTCACTCCACCAAGCACTGATTGCTTCTCCAGGGTTTCTAAGGTTCCTTCTCCTGCATCCAGCAGTCAGGTATTGTTAGCTTCATAGGATTAACAAAGTCCTTTAATATTTCCTATTATGCTTTGCTAATGAACTAGAAACATGGGCAAGTTCACCTCTTCTCTGATCTCAGTGGATTCCCCTCCATTATGGAGGATTTGGGTTGTATAACATGTCGTTTTAATGCTTCTTTTTTGGGCTTAAAACGCCTCTAGTACTGACTTGGTGATGAGGTTTGACTTGGCTCATCCTTGTTTGATTTCCTTTGACAGTGTTGGTAACACAAGTTATTACTGGGCACTGACAGAATCCACAGTCACATTTGCTAGAGGAATCCTGGTGCCCAAGTGTTGACTAAAGACATATAATAAAATGCAACTCAAAATGTGCAACTAGCTTTAATAACTCCATACTTTACTTATTCTGTTCCCAGTTCTGTGTGCTTTCTTACTCCTGAGTAACCATTGTTTTCCCTTCACCTTAATAGTCTCATTTCTGCTACATTGCAGAAAGTTAAAAAAAAAAAACAAAACACAAAACCAAATGCAAAACCCAAGCCTGAAATTGAGCCAAACCTCTAGAATCTACACATGCCTGATGAAGGAATAAGCATCTGTGTTACTCTCTTCCATGTTTCTTATCTAACAAGTTTTCAAGTGAATTTGCTCCCTAAGCTCTTGTGCTCCTGTGTAGCATCTACCCACCCTTGAGGCACGCAAAGGCAACAGGCCAGGAAGCGTCCCATTTTCCTAACAGGAAGACACTGAATCAATTAAAAGCTGAATTTCCTATTTTGAAGATTTCCTTTGTTAAAATACACATAACTTTTTGGCTTACACCTTCTATGTTACAGCTTCCCTCCTTATTGTACTGATAGCAACATCTAGTGGCAAGATTATCTCATAACAGTGCCCTACTTTTGGAAACTGGTCTATCTGTGTTTACCTCTGGATGAATCTTCATCTGCTCTGTGGCCAGGCTGACCTTAGAATTAGAAAACAATTTGAATCACAAGGACTTCGATGGCCTTCTTTGCTGGTTGCAATAAAGTCCTTTCTTGCAAAGGAGTACTACTGACAGCCCGACTAATAAATTTATTAGGCAAGAAAAGCAAATAAAAAAAACTAACACAAACAGACTTGAGTTTGCTGGAGTAACAGAACCTGATGGTCTTGTGAGTTGACGTAACACGTGCCCTGAAACTGAGCTGGAATCCTACCACCAGCCGTTGTGTCGGATACCATGTGCATACCCAGGACCATCCTATGTAGCTTAAACTAGCTGACAGGGACCTGTCTCTTCCACCAGGAACTGTGGTCAGATCTGCAGTCTGTGAGTCACAGTTCAGTGTTGGGCTCGCTCATCCAGTAGCTTTCAGTCTGGGTGTAATCAGGGATCACCTGAAAAAAACCCCAATGTTCTGGTTGTTGTGTGTGTGATTTTGTATCTGGTTTCTCTCAGGTGTGCCTGCCGTTGGTTTGTTGCAGGTTATTAGCAGAGTTGTACTGATGGCAGCAGGTGCTTTCAAACCTGGCTGCCTGCTTACGTGGTTCTGCTCCCAGATGAAGGCAAGGTCTCAGAGGCTTCTTGGTGGAACATGTGTGCATGTCTACTATGTGCTACCTCTGGTTACTCGGTTACCCACTCCTTTCACAGAAGCATTAGGCAGAGCCACAGCAGATGTGGTAAGGACATAGCTGGGACTTCTGGGCATACAACAGCACCATCATGGTTGAAATTACTGTGCATACAGAGTAGCTTTGATTCAGTGAAGCTGTAAGAAGTACTGGGCAGATGCAGGACATCCCCAAAATCTATCCACGTAACATTTTGGGTGAAAACAACACAGCAGAACACACAAATTGTTGCATGAAAGAAAAAACTTATCAGTGGTTAACCCTGCACTAGTCAAGATGTGAAGGCCTCACTCTGGAATTCTTCTCGGGTTTTTAAATCGGGTTCCAGCAGAGGGAGTTGTAATTCTGGAGCTGCAGGGAGCAGCTTTTCCAGAGATCCCCCATGAAGCTGGGAAGGGGCTGCAGCAAAAATCACTTTTTGTTGTGACTGGGGCTACTGCCCTGGCAAGGATGAGGGAAGCCCAGATTCACCATTGCTTCTGTGCTCAAACAAGGATTTAAATCGCAATCTCACAAATTCCATGACGACCAAGCCTCAAAATACCCAGGAGTAGAGATTCTCAATCTGTAAACTTTTACTCCATTTTCATAGAATTTAATGAATATTGATTGAAGCAGAGTCTTCTGATGAACACACGTATGAATTGTGATTATGAGGGAATTGTTTACAATCCCAACTTCAGCCACGTAAATGAGGTTTTACTGCAGAAAATAGCTTCAACATGAAACAACCCAGCGCTCTGCTATGAGCTCTGTGCAAAATGTACTTACAAGGGGCCAAATTAGAGATAAAACACGTGAGTGAAAGTGTCAACCCAATGGAAGATCTGGCACTGATTTGGAGGCTGATACAGAGGGGATGCCTTGGCTTCTTGGTTGATGTCCTCTTCTGTAATTTGTGCAAGTTCTGGCATCCACCTTATGAAGTGATGTTGCGAAACTGAACAATACAGAGAGACAAATAATTGAAGATACAAACTGAGTACGTACTTCAGGTTTTCAGGTAGCCCAGGTATGGCGCAGACATCTTTGAAAAGTAAAAAAAAAAAACCCACAACTATTTAGAATTATTTTTGAACTATCAAAAAGAGCCCAACAGCCCTACTGGAAGACATGTTCAAGTGCATACACAGCAGTTAAATGAAAACAGCTGGAGTGCACTAAAAGAGACGAGTGTCTCCAAACCAGGCAGACTTACCCACATCCAATAGTTAAGACTTCATTTGCACTTGACATGAAAGCAGTGGGGTGAAGTTCTATGGGCTGAGCAGGACAGAGATGAGACATAAGATTTAATAATCCTTGGAGGACCTAAACCTGATGAATTGTGTGTCAGGTGCCATTGCCAGTCTTCACACTAGAAACTAAACTGCTGTCGTCACTTGAGGACCATCAATAAATACTATTTGCACCTTTACATTTTTGATTTGAGGACAGATCTTTTCCAAAATAAGCATTAAAATTCATGCAGTTTCTCCTCTGAACTTGCTCGAGGGGATGTTTTGATTCCTGATGATTTTAACAGTCCCAAAGAAACATCAGGGTGTCTTCGGCCAGACCTAGCAGTAAGAAATTTCATTTCAGTTCCTATGGGAAGAGTTTTATGACTAACATGATGACTGAGGATAAAACTGCAGCTACACTAGGCAGCAGACTGTTTCTCCTAAAAAAGTTCAAGTCTGTGATTAAGCTCTGGATTGTGCAGTATTTGTTACAGATAATACATCTCTCAAATTGTATCTACGCCGAGCCACTGAACAGATAGGCAAAAGCAGGGGAGTGATATATATATAATACTTCAGGCTTTGGGAAAAAAACCACCCCCAACAACCACCCACCTTCACATAGTTACACAGCAGTGTAACTATTTAGTATCCAAAGAAAAAGTAATTATGCTGGGCTCCTGAAAAGCAATTGATTTTCCTTCAGAGGACAGGGCTACTTTATAGAAGTGGAATTACCTCTCTTTATTTAAAAAACAAAAACAAAAACCCACCACCCCTGAGTGGCTAGCAGAAGGTCACAGAAGATCTAATAGAGAGACCAGGAAGTGTAATTGTGCTGCCTGACATCCTTTCATCCTAACAGTTACATTCACTACATTAATTGCACGAGGTTCAAGGAGGCCAAGGGCCGGGTCCTGCACTTGGGTCAGAACAGCCCCAGGCAATGCTCCAGGCGTGGGGAGAGGTGGCTGGAAACTGCCTGGCAGAAAGGGACCTGGGGGTGTTGGGGGATGGTCGCTGAACATGAGCCAGCAGTGTGCCCAGGTGGCCAAGGAGGCCAATGGCATCCTGGCCTGTGTCAGAAATGGTGTGACCAGCAGGAGCAGGGAGGTGATGGTGCCCCTGGACTCGGCACTGGTGAGACCACACCTTGAGTGCTGGGTTCAGTTTTGGGCACCACAGGATAAGAAGGACATGGAGGTGCTGGAGCAGGTCCAGAGAAGGGCCACAAAGCTGGTGAAGGGTCTGGGGAACATGTTTTATGAGGAGTGGCTGAGGGAACTGGGATTGTTTAGCCTGGGGAAGAGGACACTGAGGGGAGACCTTACTGCTTTCTACAACTACCTGAAAGGAGGTTGTAGTGAGGAGGGGTTTTGGCCCCTTCTCCCAGGTTGCTAGCTGTAGGATGGGAGGAAATGGGCTTAAGTTGCACCAGGGGAGGTTTAGATTGGATACTAGGAAGAGTATCTTTTACTCCACAGTGGTGAGTCATTGGAACAGGCTGCCCAGGGAGGTGGTGGAGTCTCCATTCCTGGAGGGGTTCAGAAAGCATGTCAATGTGGCAACTGGGGACATGCTTTAATGGTCATGGTAGTGTTGGGTGATGGTTGGACTTGATGATCTTAAGAGATCATCTCCAATCTTAATAATTCTATGATTCCATCTGTAAATGCTGTACCAACATCCAAAAACACCCACTCTGGGCTTTTACTGGCAGAACAGGGAAATGTAACTTTCCTGCAGGATGGGGCAGGGGACTTGTTCCTCCCCCAGGCCCTTCCACTGCAGCAGCCCCCCCTGTGCATACCCCCGTTCCTGGTGGTGCAGCCCCTGCGGGTCAGTAAGGCTGTGAGGACACCAAGCAGTAAAGAGCTGCCCCACTTTTCAGTGTGACACACATCAGCTCTGTCCTGGACATGTGCCAGGGTGATGTGGTGCCTTCCTCCTCTGTGCTCCTGCAGCACTGCCTCCTAACAGAGGCCATGAGGAAAGCCTGGAGACCTACCCCTTCTCCTGCAAAGCAGCTTGCTCCCACAGCTGAGGAAGAGGGGTCTATCAGTGCATCCTGACTGCAGGACAGTTGCTAACTCTAGTTAGGCAGCTGAAGAAACCCTCATGGAAATGCTGGCAATCAGGGATGGTGCACAAAGCACTAATAAGTCTCTTAATTATGAGGTTAATTTATTAATTAATTATGAAGTTGCTAGAAGACAGCTGTGTTGGTCCACACAAGGTCCATTTGGAAATGCTTTCCAGGCTCGCTTGCTGGTTATGATGATGCTCTGGCTCTCTCCTGTCACTCAGCAGCAGAGCATTTCTGGCAGGACAAGCCAGCTGCCAGCACCCAAAACACAGCACCCACCACCCTCTCTGAGGAATCTGCAGGTACACACTAAAAAATCACAACCCTTAAAATAAGAAGCACAGCACGTTTTTTCCAATTAAAAAGTTTATTTGCCTTCTTGGCAGTTTCACCCAAATTTATGATCTTGGTCTCTCCTTCTTGCCCTTGTACAAGGCCAAGAGAGAAACATTGGCTACTTTGACGACCTTGAAGCGCACCCCAGGGATGTCCCCGACGGCGTGACCCTTCCGGCCAAAGCCAGCAACCAGCACCTCGTCGTTCTCCTGCAGAAGAGTGACAGCTGTCAGCACTGCACCCCTCTGTGACGCCCACACAGGCACCCCTGGCAGCACCCTGCACAGTCCAAGGGCAGTACTGAAGGCTGCCGGTAAGTAGATGTGAGTGAGCAAAGGACTCCTGTCCCCTGCAGCGTTCTGGGGGAAGGAACCCTCAGCAGCGAGGCCACACCTGAGAACTGGCTCTGCAGGGCCCCACCAACCCCTGCCCCCCAGGCTGCCAGCTTACTGCTTTACTGGGACATGCAACTCTCTACCCAGAACGCTTCCTGGAAGTTACCTCAATGAAGTTCAGGCAGCCATCATTGGGAACAAAAGCTGTTATTTTTTTGCCGTTCTTAATCAGCTGGACCCGAACACATTTCCTGATGGCAGAGTTGGGCTGTTTAGCCTCTACTCCACTGAAAGGGAAGCAGAGAGAAATAAATTAGCAAAAACTAGTTTTATGAATTAGCAGACACTTATTACACTACCACAAATTACTGTATTACTTTGTACTGAGTGCTTTATATATGTACATCAAAAACTATTATCTATTTGGAACTACTGAAAATACAAAAGCTCAGCTCTTAATATGAGTTAAAACTCAAAATTAGTCATCTATATAGAATCACAGAATCACTAGGGTTTGAAAGGACCTCTAGCATTATCAAGTCCAACCTTCATAAGACAAACATAGTGTTTCAGTAAGTAACAATCTAGAGGGGAAGAAAAAAAAAAAAGAGAACCTCTTGGAGTCCTGGCACTGTCCCAGTGAAGCTTTTAATTCACAACAGCAGCCTGAAAACATGTAGATGGCATCTCTGACACAAGCTGCACACACAAAATCTCTGCCCCCAAAACACGAAAGTGAAATACTGATATTTTAATTCTTTTGTTTCTAAATAAGCAGAATCCCTTAAGTAACACGTGCATGAGAAAAATAACCCTTTCCAATCTAGCCCTTCGCAGCTAACAGAAACGGGGCACGTTAGAGGTGGCAAAACCTCTCCTGTGTTTAGAACCCAAAACGGCTTGACAGAGGTACTCCCCCGAGGCCCGTCTCGGAGGCCTCATTTCC